TATCGAAACAAAGCTTCCTCTATGAGGAAGCAAAATTGTGTTTTTTGAGTTTTTAAAACATTTTAAACCCATTGGCAATGAAAACTGGAAAAAAATTTTTCGTATGAAAACAAAGCTTCCTCTATGAGGAAGCAAAAGTGTGTTTTTTGGTGGATATCTCGAAAATTGCGAAGGTGGGAGCGATAACAATTATTGCGCACGCACACACACACACACATTTTTTAAATTAGTGTGTTTTTTGCAGTTTTTAGATTATACTAAACCCATTGGCATAGAAAACCCAAAAAAAATTTTCGCATGAAAACAAAGCTTCCTCTATGAGGAAGCAAAATTATAGGATTGTTTTAAATAATAGGCGGGAAAAAACGAATTATTTAAAAGTACCAATTTTGAAATTTGAACATTGCTTCCTCATCATATAGCCTTTCTTTTTTAATTTAATAGGAGCAAAATGGAAATTTGCAAAATTCAACCTAGGTATTTGGGCAAATTGTGTATTAAATTTTTTTATAAATGTAAAGGTGCAAATTAGAAATTTGCACATTGTTTAGGTTGAAATTCCTCAATAATATTTTAAATATCCACGAAAGAAAAAAATGTTAAACAATAAAGTTGTATCATTTTTGGTGGCGCATTTTATAGTAATATCAGTATGACCTTGAATAACTTTATCAAGCTTATTTAAAGATCACATTGAAATTTTTATATAGAACCCTCCTTCTTCTTGTAGCTTATTTCAACAGCTTTCCAAAACGGTATAATAAAGTATGTTTTCGTTAAGTAATTATTGAATTATGAGATTTAAAATTTACGGAAATGCCAGAATTATCGGTGAATAGCTTTTAAAATTTCTAAGATAGGATTTGAACAGCAATCCTGATGTTCGACTTAGTTGCGTCAGATACAACAAAAAAAAGACATGCACGCACGCACGCACGCACGGACATTATTAAAAAGGGGGGGGGGGAAGGTGAAAATTGGAAATTTGCACATCGCTTCCTCATCATGTAACCTTTTTTTAATTTTAAAGGAGCAAATTGGAAATTTGCAAAATGCAACATCAGCATTTTGGCAAGTTGTCTATTAAATTTTTTTTAATTTTAAAGGTGCAAATTGGAAATTTGCACATTGCTACCTCAACATCTGGATTTTTTTTATTTTAAAGGTGCAAATTTAAATTTGCAAAACGCAGCATCAGCATTCTGGCAAGTTGTTTTTAATTTATAAGGTGCAAATTGGAAATTTGCAAACTGCAACATTAACATTTTGGCAAGTTGTGTATTCAAAATTGGCTTCCTCATAGAGGAAGCTTTGTGAGTTAATCTGCAAATTAAAAATGTGGACATTGCCCATTCTAACTTGTAAAAATGTAAATTGCAAATTTGGACATTACTTCGTCATCATGAAGGCAAGTGATTGTTAAAAATTTGGGCAACCTCATAGAAGAGGCTTTGTGAGTTAGGGTTGATTTTGAAAATTGCTTACTTGAGAATTTTTATTAGCACACAAAGCTTTCTCTGTGAGAAAGCCATATCCAAGTTTCTAATCCTCTTACTCTTCGCATATATGTTTCTGGCTTTCTCATAGAGAAACTTTTTAATTTAGTTATTAAGTAAAAATACTTAAATGTAAATATGGGACGAGAAGACCCTATAGAATTTTATATTATTAAAATTATTGGAGTGTGATTTTATGTGTGGTATATTTTAATTATATTTAGTTGGGAGGATTGATAAATTGTGGTATATTTTAATTATATTTAGTTGGGAGGATTGATAAATTTATTTAACTTTATTTTTTAATATAATATAAATTAATAATTAAAGAAAGCTTTGTGTGCTAATAAAAATTCTCAAGTAAGCAATTTTCAAAATCAACCCTAACTCACAAAGCCTCTTCTATGAGGTTGCCCAAATTTTTAACAATCACTTGCCTTCATGATGACGAAGTAATGTCCAAATTTGCAATTTACACTTTTACAAGTTAGAATGGGCAATGTTCACATTTTTAATTTGCAGATTAACTCACAAAGCTTCCTCTATGAGGAAGCCAATTTTGAATACACAACTTGCCAAAATGTTAATGTTGCAGTTTGCAAATTTCCAATTTGCACCTTATAAATTAAAAACAACTTGCCAGAATGCTGATGCTGCGTTTTGCAAATTTAAATTTGCACCTTTAAAATAAAAAAAAATCCAGATGTTGAGGAAGCAATGTGCAAATTTCCAATTTGTTTTAATATTATTGACTCCAAAATAAACATGAATACATTTCGGATGAAAACTTTGACACCGAAAAATCCTAAATCTCGGGCTAAAACGCAGTCTGCAGCTGTTTGTACGCGAGTTTTAATCCTAATGTGTCTGTATGCTAAACATAGTTTCTGAATAAAAAATTAATAGCAACAACAGTCCATTCCTTCCACTTAAAACACAAAAGATTTATTGTGCACGCCTGACAAAATGTCGTCTACTTGACCCTCTAAATTGTTTGAATCATGTATGAAACGAGACAAAGTGACTTCAACTACATACGCAGATCAATACGAAAGGCACGGGCTTTGCTTTTTTAACCTTTAGGAATATTTTACCGTAAGACAAGCTTTATAAGCTCCTGTACTTAAAGTTTGTTAGTCATTCGGATTTTCGATGTAAGTGAAAACGAGTGCCGACATTTTTACGATTTGTACCTTGCCTATAAAAATCGAGATAATTTTATTTGTATTTTTACCGATTTTCGGAATATACGTTAAGTCTAAACATGGAAAATAAAACAACATATGAGTATATTCCGGCTTTTTATGCCGGCCGCTGTATATTCATTACCGGAGGGACCGGGTTTATGGGTAAAGTTCTTATTGAAAAGATTTTACGATCATGTCCCGATGTTGCAAACATATTTGTACTCATACGGCCGAAAAAAGAACTAAGTATCAACGATAGACTGCAGAAAATGTTGGATAACAAGGTGAGATCAGCATAAATGTGCATAAATATATTTGTCATATATGTATAATCGTTAAGTTATTATTACATTTTGCTGGGTTGAGAAAAGTGTATAAAGAAGAAAGAAATATAGCTAGGTACTATCCAGCTTGAACATAGAGGCGTTTCTATTAACTACACAGGTCTACAAGGTTTTGTTGTTGGGCAGCTGGGGGTCGTTTCCCAAGTAATTTTCTGCGTAGAATCCGAATCCGAGGTCAGAATTGGCCCATCACGTCAGGATTTTGAGATATTTGAGGTTACATACTCGAAAAATGGCTTTTTGGGCTACTTTTGAGGTTATGTACAGGACGCACAAAATTTTTTAGCTCTCTTCTTTTAATTGCATCATTTAGTTCTACTCTTTCCTTTCAAAATGAGCTGACGAATGGTCATCTACGATTTTTCCTTGTAAAGTTACGGCCATTTTAAGATAACATGATAAATTCCAAACCCTGCGCCGTTATAGCCCAACAACCTCATGAGCATTCACATTAAACCTGTAAACTTTGAACTATAAACTCGAAAACCTGGGCTGAAAACTATATGTGTATATGGGTTTGATGGAGAATCTGAAATTAGATTTTGAAAATTCAAGATGGTTTAACGTGAATGCTCATGAGGTTGTTGGGCTATAACGGTGCAGGGTTTGGAATTCATCATGTTATCTTAAAATGGCCGTAACTTTGCAAGGAAAAATCGTAGATAACCATTCGACAGCTCATTTTGAAGGGAAAGAGTAGTACTAAGTGATGCAATTAAAAGAAAAGAGCTAAAAAATTTTGTGCGTCCTGTACATAACCTCAAAAGTAGCCCAAAAAGCCATTTTTCGAGTATATAACCTCAAATATCTCAAAATCCTGACGTGATGGGACAATTCTGACCTCGGATTCGAATTCTACGCAGAAAATTACTTGGGAAACGACCCCCAGCTGCCCAACAACAATCATGATCCCATTTTTTGTAGACATGTGCATACAAGTTACTGTAAAAGTTATTATTGCTACAACACAATTAAATACTGCCGTTTAACTCGTAGGCATTATGAATTCATGTAGTTATGACTAGAAGTATTTTAAGCAATACAATAGAATCGATTTTCAAAATTAGTAGAAATCTGTTTTTTAAAGAAGCAGGAAATAAAAAAACACCAATTCGTTCAATATTCTAATTTGAAATCATTTTCTAATTACCACGTTGAATACCATTGCGAGCACGTAAACGACACTGACCAATGTTACCAAAAATGGAAAAAGAGTTGTAATCCTACAAACATAATTAGTATTTTTGTTTACATATATAAATTGTTTATATACCGTCAGATTGAAATAATAAAATTATTATTAAAATAATTAAGTTTTAAGTCATCGATTGCAATGAAAAGTCTCTAACTAGAATGTTCAATACGCGAGAACGTATTGCTTCCATTGAGTCATTTAATTGACAACATTTATAAACCCATAATGTGCATAAATTTAAAACCCTAAACAGAATCAATAATGTCCCGCAAATAATATTAATTAATAACCAACTAATAGCTCGTCGGAAATTTCATCTAAATGTGAAGTAATATGGTAGTCCAGTGTCAATTAGTATTGCAATAATTAGTATTGCAATAATAATTGATAGTAGTAAAAGCACTATGCACATTTTGTGAACTAGTTTGTCGATATGTGTATATATAATAATGGAAACTTTACTTAAGAGTTGCAGGAAAAACAAACAAATTAGTTTTTCATATCATTAGTTTATATAGAAACAATTTAAGAATGTATAAAATAGTTTTTTTAGAAGGAACAAAAGCATTGCTTCTTGTTAAACGTTTTGTGATATCAAGATGTGATAACAAAACGAATTTTTTAAATTAATATTAATTATATCTATATTCAAACGATATATGCATAACCTTTTTATCTTTTAAATGTTCAATAGAGAATTTTTTCGAAATTAAAATTGAATGCCATAGCAATAGAAATATATACCATGCGTTCTCTTTGTACTAATTGCTGTTAATAATTTAGCTTTTCGATCTGCTACGAAGCACGCAACCGTCTGCGTTTGATAAAATTATTCCTATAAGTGGAAATTTAGCTGCTGACAATTTAGGATTGCTTCCCTCCGATCGAGAAATGTTGATCGAAAAAGTATCTATAATATTCCACAATGGAGCTAACGTCAGATTTGATGGAAGTCTAAAAGACATGATTCTCAATAACACTAGAGGAACGCTAAATACTTGTATTTTAGCTGAGAATATGAAGCAACTAGTCGTAAGTGTTTATTACTTACTTTGTAAAATAAGGTATTATTAAATAATTAATGGGTATCAATAATTGTACATAAATATACTTTTCAACAATAATATTGGTTATTAATAATTCCATCTGCTTGTCTTTCTGTATGTGTCTTTCGATAAAAGTATTTAAAAAAACCTTACACATACAAAATTGAATAACAGACTGAAAAGTGTTTGTACGCAAGTATTAAAGTGTTGGTGTGCAAAGTATGGTAAAATAAAATTTATATGTGTATCACGGTCAGAACTATATAATTTAGTTCTTAAAGATTTACATTTTTATTATGCCAAAGAAACACAGTAGAAAGTATTATGAAACAATATATGGTAACACGCCAATGTGGGTCACAAGGCAAGATGTAGGTAGCCCAACTTGTAAATCTTAATCTTTTTGAAAATCGTGAATCTATATACCGTTTCTTTCCACATTAGTACTACGCGCCGATTTCTTTTCCGGACATAACGCAGTTTATCATGTACGTGGAAATATTGTCGTCAGCAGATTCACGTATTCGATTCGATGATTATTTTCAAATGCAATTCGCATTTTTCTGATGCTATATTTAGCATTCAAGCCCCTCCCTCCCCCATTTTCTCCGGCCTGTAAATTAATTTTATTGCGAAAAATATTACCCCAACCAGGATTCGAACCTGGGACCTCCCTCAAATCCTGGTTGGGGTAATATTTTTCGCAATAAAATTAATTTACAGGACGGGGAAAATGGGGGGAGGGAGGGGATTGAATGCTAAATATAGCATCAGAAAAATGCGAATTGCATTTGAAAAATAATCATCGAATCGAATACGTGAATCTGCTGACGACAATATTTCCACGTATATGATAAACTGCGTTAGGTCCGGAAAAGAAATCGGCGCGTAGTACTAATGTGGAAAGAAACGGTATATGTATAGATTCACGACTTTCAAAAAGATTTAAGATTTACACGTTGGGCTACCTACATCTTGCCTTGTGACCCACATTGGCGTGTTATCATATATTGTTTCGTTTTAGATAGGGGTCTTACTTGAAAGTTACTTGTTAGAAAGTATTATGTTTGTATGTGTGTGTGTGTGTGTGTGTGTGTGTGTGTGTGTTTGTATGCACAGCAGAGTAGACACAGCAGAGATGATAATGTACATATATGTATGGTATATACTTATGTACATACGTATAAATTTGATAAAATAATAAGATCAAAAGAAATAAACTTCTATAATTACCTCAATTAGCCTATGTAAAAAAGTAAAGTAAGGTAATCTTTTTACTCTAAAAAGAAATTTATTTTAATTTATCGGT